CGATCACAACCAACACAGCAGAAATAAAAACAATAATAAGAGAATATTATGAGCAATTAGCCACCAATAAAATGGGCAATCTGGAAGAAATGGACAAATTCCAGAAACATATAAATTACCAAATCTGAAACAGGAAGAAATAGAAAATTTGAACAAACCCATAACCAGTAAAAGAATAGAATCAGTAATTAAAAATCTCCCAAAAAACAAGAGTCCAGGGTCAGATGGCTTTCCAGGGGAGATCTACTAAACATTTAGGGAAGAGTTAACACCTATTCTCTTGAAGCTGTTCCAAAAAATAGAAATAGAAGGAAAACTTCAAAATTCTTTCTATGAAGCCAGTATTACCTTGATTCCAAAACCAGAAAAAGACCCCACTAAAAAGGAGAACTATAGACCAATTTCCATGATGAACACGGATGCAAAAATCCTCAATAAAATAGTAGTCAACAGGATCCAACAATACATTAAAAAAATTATTCACCACGACCAAGTAGGATTTATACCCAGGATGCAGGGCTGGTTCAATTACTGCAAATCAATCAATGTGAGTCATCACATCAATAAAAGAAAAGACAAGAACCACATGATTCTCTCAATAGATGCAGAGAAAGCATTTGACAAAATACAGCATCCTTTTTTATAAGAGCCCTCAAGAAAGTAGGGATAGGAGGATCATATCTCAAGATCATAACAGCCATATATGAAAGACCCAATGCTGATATCATCCTCAATGGGGAAAAAGCTGAGAGCTTTCCCCTGAAAGTCAGGAACAAGACAGGAATGTCCACTCTCGCCACTGTTATTCAACATGGTATTGGAAGTCTTAGCCTCAGCAATCAGACAACACAAAGAAATAAGAGGCATCCAAATCGGCCAGGAGGAAACCAAACTTTCACTCTCCGCAGATGACGTGATACTCTACATGGAAAACCCAAAAGATTCCACCACAAAATTGCTAGAACTGATCCATGGATTCAGCAAAGTGGCAGAATATAAAATCAATGCACGGAAATCGGTTGCATTCCTATACAACAACAATGAAGCAACAGAAAGAGAAATCAAGGAATCGATCCCATTTACAATTGCACCAAAAGCCATAAAATACCTTGGAATAAATCTAACCAAAGAGGTGAGAAATCTATACACTGAAAGCTATAGAAAGCTTATGAAAGAAATTGAAAAGACACAAAAAAAATGAAAAACTATTCCATGCTCCTGGATAGGAAGAACAAATACTGTTAAAATGTCAATACTACCCAAAGCAATCAACATATTCGATGCAATCCCTACCAAAATAACACCGGCATGCTTCACGAAGCTAGAACAAACAATCTTGAAACTTGTATGGAACCAGAAAAGATCCCAAATAGCCAAAGCAATCTTGAAAAAGAAAACCAAAGCAGAAGGCTTCACAATCCCAGACATCAAACTGTATTACAAAGCTATAATCATCAAGACAGTATGGTACTGGCACAAAAACAGACACTCAAATCAATGGAACAGAATAGAGAATCTAGAAATGGACCCACAAACATATGGCCAACTAATCTTTGACAAAGCAGGAAAGAATATCCAATGGAATAAAGACAGTCTCTTCAGCAAGTGGTGCTGGGAAAACTGGACAGCATTATGCAGAAAAATGAATCTGGACCACTTTCTTACACCATACACAAAAATAAAATCAAAATGGATGAAAGACTTAAATGTAAGACAGGAAGCCATCAAAATCCTCAAGGAGAAAGCAGGCAAAAACCTCTGTAGACCTTGGCCACAGCAACTTCTTTCTTAACACATCTCCAGAGGCAAGAGAAACAAAGGCGAAAATGAAATAATAAGCTTCAGCACAGTGAAGGAAATAATCAACAAAACTAAAAGGCAACCGATGGAATGGGAGAAGATATTTGCTAATGACATATCAGATAAAGGCTTAGTATCCAATATCTGTAAAGAACTTATCAAACTCAACACCCAAAAAACAAAGAATCCAGTGAAGAAATAGTCAGAAGACATGAATAGACACTTCTCCAAAGAAGACATCCAGATGGCCAACAGACACATGAAATGACGTTTAAGTCACTCATCATGAGGGAAATACAAATCAAAGCCACAATAAGATACCACCTCACACCTGTCAGAATGGCTAACATTAACAACACAGGCAACAACAGATGTTGGCGAGAATGTGGAGAAAGAGGAACTCTTTTGCACTGCTGGTGGGAATGCAAACTGGTGCAGCCACTCTGGAAAACAGTATGGAGTTTCCTCAAAAAATTAAAAATAGAACTACCCTGTGACTCTGCAGTTGTACTACTAGGCATTTATCCAAAGGATACAGGTGTGCTGTTTCAAAGGGACACATGCACCCCAATGTTTATAGCAGCACTATCAACAATAGCCAAAGTATGGAGAGAGCCCAAATGTCCATCGATGGATGAAAGGATAAAGAAGATGTGGTTTATATATACAATGGAGCATTACTCGGCAATCAAAAAAAAAAGAAAAAAGAAAAAAGAAAAAAGAAAAAAGAAAAGAAATATTGCCATTTGCAACTACGTGGATGGAACTACGGGGTATTATGCTAAGCTAAATTAGTCAGAGAAAGACAAATATCATATAACTTCACTAATATGAGGACTTTAAGATACAAAACAGATGAACATAAGGGAAGGGAAGCAAAAATAATATAAAAACAGGGAGGGGGACAAAACATAAGAGACTCAAATATGGAGAACAGAGGGTTACTGGAGGAGTTGTGGGAGGGAGGGTGGGCTAAATGGGTAAGGGGCATTGAGGAATCCAATCCTGAAAGCATTGTTGCACTATCTGCTAACTAACTTGGATGTAAAAAAAAAAATAAATTTAAAAAATTTTTTGAAAGATGAGGCTAAAGTAATTACAATGAAAAATCATTAATTATTCTGAACTAATTAATATGGACTTTGTTCAATGCTTGGCTTTGACACTATTATGTAAACCTGAAGTATTAGGTTTTGTTTTGCTTGAGAAAAAAAAAAGTACCAAAGACTTAACAGGATTAAGAGGATTTTTCATTCTGTATGCCCTTTCTACCCTCAAACCCACCCCCAAATTTCTGGTGATGAATAATCCTCCTATGAAAGCAACAAAAACCAGAGAAGGAAATATTTAGGACACATTATCAGCCCTGCCATTAACAATAATAGATCTTGCAAAACACTGTGGAGAATCTGCTTCTTCTTGTCATTTCCTTCTCTTTTCCTACGTATAGTCCATTAAAACACCTTAGTGTGGCCTTTAAGTTTACTCTAATGCCTACCTTCAGAGTTACCTCTGTATATTTATTTTTATTCCTTGAACTCCTCACCCCTGCAAAAAATTACAAGGTACGGGTAGGGACAATTATGAATAGCTGTGGCTGCATTTCTGAAATTTTTTGTTCCTCTGATACACTCTGAAAATGTAGGCCGCTAGTCACGGCTACTAAACACGATTTCTCTTTGCATGGTGCTATACTCTTCTGCCTTTTTAAAATGGATCTTTATTTCTTACCACGTCTCAAACAGCAATTTTTGAATTTCATTGCAGTTGACTGGAAGGTTTTGTAGTCCCTGTTCTTTTATCAAGAACTCCTATCCTGTATATGAACAAAAAAATCTCCTCCATCCATGCAGCAGTCATGACCTCCTAACACTTCTCACCTTACACTTCTGGGTGCAGCAGCTCTGCACTTTCCTTCTGAAACACTGCATTCCCATATCAGACTGCACCCTGACATCCAATAAAACGGCAGTCAGAGCCTTTTTTAAAAAATCTAGAACCTCATTCATCACCTGCTAGCAATTTAAAGTTTTAAAATGCTACTATATCATATCTTTAGGAATGTTCTATTTATGACACATTGCTTTCACTTCAGTGTAGCTTTGTGGGTGGCGCGTCATGGCAGGAGCTGAAGCAGAAGAGAAAGTTCATTAAATAATCATTTTGTACTTTATAATATATGCTCCTAATAAACTCATTGAAAGATTTAAAATATTCTAGGGAGGATATATTCATAGAAGCAGTTTGAAATATGATTTGAGCAATTATAAAAATATATTTATCAAATGCAGACAACCAATCTGTATATTTCAAGGGCAACGACTTTCTTTAAGGTTTGACTTCACTTCTTATTCATTGTTATAGCCTAAGTTCTAACATTTCATCTCTGCTGCAAACTCACCACCATTTACCTTGCCTCTACTATAGTCTTCTTAAATATATATGTAACAAATATATATAAATACATACGTATATTTATAAAAATATAAATATTTCATTTGTATATTTTGTTTGTTTATAGCAAACAGGTAAAAATTAAATTGAAAAGTGTATTCAATAATGAAATAGTTAAATGACACAAGTTATTACACTGGATCGTCTTTTTGAGTTGACTGGACAGGGTGACATAATCTACTCTCAAACACTTATATCTAGTTTGTTTTTCCTTCTTCACCAATGAAGTTAATATGCATGTTAAAGAACGTTTGATTAGGTCGTACATTAAATATTTTGTTGTCGTTATTGGCAAAAACCTACTTTTTAAGACTACCAGACCCTAGACCTAACACAGAGATAGAAGTCTCCTTGATATTGTGGCCTCTCATGTAACAGATGCAAGACAGTACCCATTGCTTTGGAGAAAGTTGTTACCAAGTTTTATGTGTTTTTGTTTTTTAACAGAAATCTCTTCACCTCAAATTTCTTGGTACTTAGAATTCAATTTTCTTGGCCTGATGTAAAAATAAAAACAAAATACAAAAAAAGCCACAAGGCATGAGTACGTCATTAGGAAGAACATTATTAGGACCCTAATCTCTTCCTTTTTCGAGAGTAGAGCTCAGACATGATCCCATCCAGGTCCAACCTACCATGTGGCTCTATAGGTGAAAGACGGTGGTGGAGGGGTGTGTGTGTGTTTGCACACACATGCATGTGTGCGCGCGCGCGCACGTGCTCACGCGCACATGCAACCTGAGACGGCTGCGTCGTGATAGAAGCCACCGAGCCTCACAAAGTCTCTTGAGCAACCATCGTCTCGTAGCCTCCCATCTTGGTGGTCTCCCAGCCTCAGAGGAATTTGTCTGGGTCACAGCTCGCATGCCTGGAAAGACCATCCAAGACAGCTCCACAACTCAGCATCAATGGCAGCCCCTGAGGAATTAAATGGAATTTAATTGGATTAAATTTCTCTGGACTGTTTGAGTTTCACTGGCTTCACCAGGGCCCCCGTCTCGTTTCGCAGCAGCAGCAGCAGCAGCAGCAGCAGCAGCACGGCGGCACATTTTGGAACAGCCAGCATCTGGCGGTGATCATGGGTTACTTAAGCTCTAAACTGGCACATCCACAAGTTGGCTTAAGGAAAGAAATGAGAGCAAGTCGACCACGGGGAAGACAGTACTCTTAAGCCAGGGACAGATGCTGGTGAGAGGTACAGATGTAATCTGGCAGCAACCAATGCTTGGGAAGCCGATGGAGTGAGTGTCTCTTACTGGAGAAGGGATTCAAGCGGGCCATTGCAACCCTACAACTTGCTTCTTTATTCTTTTACACTGCTCACTCCCTTCTAATGTAAAGTTTGGCCAAGCACTGATTTATCTTGTTAATTAAGGAAATGTACAAGAAGAAAAGTAGCTGAATGAACTACATTTTCTGCCTTGGCAGCCACAGTTGATAACTCTCATCTTTCCAGCAGGGGAGCCATGATGACACTGGGACCAGTCATCAGTGTCAACTCAGATTTATGCCCAGTAAATGTAAATGTCTGCCCATTCCCTTTTGTTCGGTATAAATTTACCTGAGCAAGTAGCCATAATCCCCTTCATGGAAGATCTGGGGGAATCATTATCATATGTACATACTATCGTTGCTCAGGATCTTTGCTCATGAGGCCTCACATTCTCCAGTTAGTGGGTTTCAGAAACGAGAACTAAACAAAAGAACATAAGCTTTTATTAGGGTGATTGCCTTCTGCCTCCTGGTTATACAATCTAATTCACTTAGATGGTATAAATTAGGCAACACTCTTAATGTCTGTCCATATATCTTGTCCCTATAAAAACTGTGTCTTTAACCATCTTCCTAGCACTGAGGAGGCCAGGACCCTGGGCTGACAGTCCAGCCTTGACACGTATGACAGTAGTTGTACCCATATTTCTTCTGGTAGTTGATGCTGCCTATCCTTATTTTGGGATCCCGTCATACCCACGGCTACTAGGGACCTCAGTTCTGTAACAGTATCTCTTAACCTCAGCCCCCACCTACCAAAGAGGCCTATCATTGAGCTTCTCAATGATACTAGTACCAATCTAACCAATACATTCTCTATCACTTTAGCAAATGGCATGCCCTTCAGGCTCTCTATGGATCACGGTCATCTGGTGTGTTTTATGGGTTTATAGTTTATTAGAATGCCTATTTCTCTTGTCATTTTGATCCCATCTTCTACTGTCTGACATGTACTTATTATAATATAGGTAATTGCTTTCCCTAGCTTCAAAGAGCCCTCCTCACAGCATGGGAGCACTAGAGGTCTTGTGTTGTGCTTTAAATTCTTATCCTGGGACAGTACTGCCATATCAGTAAACTTTCCCTTATCAAACTTTAAACACTGTCCCCCTCCTTCTATTCAGCAACCTCAGGATCCAGTTCTATAAGTTCTCTCACAACTGCTGCGTATACATGTCGCTAGATGCTGCAATCCCATCCACATGTAGCCCCTTTCCTCAGTTAGCAGGCTCAGAACAGCCCTTATGTTGTCTTGTGAGACAGAGCCTTTCTGTCATCCTATGTCAGGGATGTGTTCTCCATTTTCAAAGCCTGGAGAAGTGCTCTGCATTCCAAGGTCTTCCGTACATCATATCAGATATCTCCATCCAAGTTTCAGCATCCTACTCCTTCTCAATCAGAGCCCTTGCTTTGCTACAGGAAACTTCCTATGCTTGAGAATTCAACCTTCTCTGGAGCTCTGTTACTTTTCTGAGTAAGTCTTTGTTCACATATTCATTCTCTGCCCTTTGTTTGCTAGAGATGAGTCTTTATATATTCCACCAAAGAAACCATATAACCTTCACTTTCTACCTTAAATTCCTTTACTTTATTTATCAATCCACTCATGAATCACTCTCAGCCTGTTTTTATCCAACACATCAATACCAGAAATAGCCATTTGATCTGATGGTCTCTGGAATTATTAATTTCCTTGTACCTCTCAAACACTTGAGATATTGCAAGCACTAATGAATTCCTTTCTACCCAGTTCACCACCTGTAAAATTCTTAACAGTTACACTCACACAACACGCTAGGAGCTGCATCCCCTGCCATTTGGCCGACAGATGCTGCAGTTCCCAAATCCCATTTTTGAGCCTGCTTTTTAGGTCACTTCCAGTACTAACTCTTCTAGGTTAAGTTTACTGTCTACAAAAACTGAGAATCAGATATGTGAGCAAGGGATTATAGGGAAGGACACTGGGGAGCCACAACTGGAAGGAAGTGAAGAGAGCAGGACCGGCAGAGGGAAAAGTTGAAGTTCAATGTAGTTGAGGCAGAGGCCTCAGGCCCTCAGACAAGTCTACAGAGAGAGCTCAGGAGTTGAGATAATACTTCAGTGTTTTCCCAAATTGAGACACGGGGGCCAGGCCTTCTTTTCCCTCCATCAATTAGATAATGGATGCAAGCTGCTTCAAAGGAAGGGGTGCAACTTTAACTAAGGACAATTGAAGGGGTAGCTGGGAGCATCCTGCCAGCCAGAGCTCTGAGTGTCTCCACCCTGCAGGGAGTATTCTAGGTGAAGCTCTAGAGCATATGCTACATAAGGTTCATTGAACTATAAAAATAGAAAAGAAAGAGAAAGCAAATATCCAGATAAGATTCTAGTATTGCATTTTCTGAACAAAGGAAAGAAGAGAGGAAAAGAGAGTTAGTATCCTTCTATATCTGTTTTCACAAGACATTGTGCCTTACACATAATGTATATGTTGAGTGGATGAATGAATGAAAAACGAGGCTACCCTTTCCATTCTATAAAAATATTACATGCATATATCATTCAGATTATAAACATCTTCAAGAAATTCTGCTCCCTCATATTTATTATTTGTGAAGAGAGAATCTCTGATTGGTTCCTTATAACATCTGCTGAATATTATCTCATAGCAACTGCTAATCTGTGTAGGCATATTTGACATTTGGCAGGAATTTACTTCCTTTTACCCATACAATATAGGCAATTTGGGCTTTACTTCTTTTGGAAAGACAAGTGAAATACATTAAGTAAACATTATCTTACACCTTTCATTGGCCTGTACCTGGTAATGTTAATGGTGCCTTAAAATCAATAATTAAATATATGATTTGATATAATTTTTTAAATATTCTACCCAGTATCATAATTTGTGTTAATAATATTTACTCACTTCTAAACAATGAACTTCAATTTTTTTTCTTAATTTTCTTAATATTTATTTCAGGTTGGACATTTTTTTCTGTTTTCAGGTATATTAAAACTTTAAAGTGTGATAAGTGTTCACCAAGTATCTTTAGATTTTATAATTATCTTTTGGAGCATTCTACATTTGAGCTATTATTCCATGTAATTTCATGTTTTTTCTTTACAGATAGTTTAATGATGCTGCCATAATAAAACATAGTCTTTAATTAAAAGGCATACCTACCAACAAACTATTTCAAATAGTCCTAAATGTATGCTTCCAAAAAATGCTCACATCCTTTCTAATAAAAAAATTAGTTTGATAAGAAGTGTCATTTATATGTTAGCAAACTCTTAAAGGCGTATTTATTCTGTAGATCTTTTTGAACAGCTATTTTCTGGTCACAGCATTGTGCTAGATGCTAAGGAAAGAAGGCAATGAATAAGATCTTATATCTGCCTTCATGAATGCTACAACATTGAATTAAGAGATTATGAAAATAATGTATCATAATAGAAAATAAAATTAGTAAAATAAAGTTAGTATAAGCAAAGAGAAATGATCAAATTATTCCAATCCTAGGCATGAGGGAAAACTTTATATTAACTTCTATCATAATATTTATGTGAGTGCTAGAGCTGTTTTCTTCCCTGTCTTTCTCACTAAGAAAGAGTGGGATTAAATGTTCATCTCAGTATTTCCCAAGTGTACCACCGAGCTGTGAGCCAACAGATGATCTTCTAGCTTTTTGGGGAGTTATTATGTAAAGTACCTACACTTCGAGAGATAAGTATCTGTTCTGTAGAGAGCTTTCCAAAATGACAGGAAGGTGTCAGCTTGTTCACACAAGTCAGTTGGTGTTATGTTTAATGTTCACCTTGAGGAATTAGAGACAGCTGTTCCTGAAGTAATCAGTTGATGGCATATTGTAGAATGCCTTGGATGACACACACCAGAATCTGACATTTCCTCCTTTTGTAGGTAAAGTGTTGAGTACTGTCTTCATCATTACATAGCATAATCTGAAGTTTACCAGGATATTGGGTTACTTATGTCCCCCATTAGGGTTCCCATTACTAACTTTCTAACTCAATCTTAGGAGGGAAGAGAAATGAGGAAACCAATGAAACGGACTAGTTTTGCTCCTAATTTAGATAAGTCAGTTGCAGACACAAGGTATTGAGGGACTGGAATATATTTTTTAAGCCATATCTTTATTAAATTCCTCTCATATTTAAGGTAAAATAATATTCCTTGAATATGGTTCTAATTTAAAAAACCACCCTCACTGAAGGTTTTATGGACAAAGATATGAACCTAATAACTTTGGAAATTAATAGAATCTATAAGACTAAAGGTTAAAGTAACTGCTTGTATTGAGTAAAATGGTTTCCCACTGGCATGTGGGTGAGGAACTTTGAAAGCCCTATACGTAGATACTTACAACAGGTAAAGTACATGGACATCAGATTTTTCACTATTGAAGTGGGAAGAAAGCAAGGGGAGGAGGTTAGGATGACCCATGAGGTACATTGGAGTTATACACTCTAATGAACTCATGTTTGGTTTAATATAGATAAAAGTGGGTATATTTGCAGATATGTGCACCTACAGGGATTGGTATATATCCAACCTTCAAGGTAACTTAGAGGGCCTAGAAATAATAACCTAGAAGTAATGAGTGCACCTAGTGTGGAGATCTTGGTTTCTTACACCACTCTTC